GTTTTTACAAACTTCTTTGGTTTGGGTTTTTACAAACTTCTTTGTAGTTGTTTCAAACGTTAAGATATCTAGAAGAAAGAGGAAGATATAACAGTGGTTAAGCCTTGATTTTAAAGTCCACAGATTGGACTTTCTGATGACATAACAGTTTTTATAGATAAAGTAATCTTCGTGCTGTTATAGCGTCTGAAATATGACCAGAAACGGGGTTTTTACAAACTTCTTTGTAGTTGTTTCAAAAGTTAAGATATCTAGAAGAAAGAGGAAGATATAACAGTGATTAAGCCTTGATTTTAAAGTCCACAGATTGGACTTTCAGATGACATAACAGATTTTACAATATAGTTGTATTTGAGCTGTGATATAGTGTCTCAAATATGAGCAGAAACGGGGGTTTTTACAAACTTCTTTGTAGTTGTTTCAAAAGTTAAGATATCTAGAAGAAAGAGGAAGATATAACAGTGATTAAGCCTTGATTTTAAAGTCGACAGATTAGACTTTCAGATGACATAACAGATTTTACAAATAAAGTTGTATTCGAGCTGTGATATAGTGTCTCAATGTGAGCAGAAACGGTGTGTTTTACAAATTTCATTTGTAGTGGTTTCAAACGTTAAGATATCTAGAAGAAAGATGAAGATATATCAGTAATTAAGCCAGGATTTTATAGTCGTCAGATTGGACTTTTAGATGACATAACAGTTTTTATAGATAAAGTAATCTTTGGACTTTTATAGCGTCTCAAATATGACCAGAAACGGAATTTTTAAAAACTTCTTTGTAGTGGTTTCAAACGGATTAAGCCTTGATTTTATAGTTGACAGATTGGACTTTCAGATGACATAGCAGATGTTATAAATAAAAGGATCTTCGCGCTCTTATAGCGTATTCAATATGTTTTTTTTCAATCTATATGTCATGATATCTGAGAAACCTGTGATGGATACATTCTGAGGCCAGATTCGGATTCTGCTCAATCCTAAAATATAAACCCAGAGATCAAAGTATACTTTTTAAATTGATCTCTGAGTTTAGACATTTTTTTGAATAAATGTAGCTATTGTAATTAAATGCAGCCATTGTGAATTGAATTTAAATTAAAAAACAATATTGTGAATAAATTAAAAGCAATGATTTTCATTAGTTAACCTTCTCTATGGTTGAAGTTTTTGTTTCGTATTAAGAGAAATACTCTGCACATGAATGCCTACCAATAGTAATTAGTGCATTAAATACTTTTAATAAAACAAAATACAAAAACAATACAGAATATTTGTTTCTCCATTTAATTTTTTTTTGTATGGTGTTACTTGGAAAACTATTGAAAATAATATAGATGGATTTATTAAAAGACAGTTAAAGAAAGACGGACTTGTTGAGAGTTGGCTGGTAAGAAAGTTTAGCATTCGCGAAATTTCAGTCAAGGCAAACAGTTGTTGATTTTTTGGTATATAAACTACTACAGCTGCTGCAGAAGAAGAGTACAATGCGTTATGGTGGCTATGATTTACAGAAAGCTTCAAAGGCAGCTGCACCTCCGAATCAAGGATCGTTTCGTTTGAAAAAAGTGCAAAATACTGCCTGTCAAATAATGGGAAAATTCAATACCAAACTACATGATTCCCTTAAGAAAGTTGTATTTAAACAAATCGGCTAATCTGGAGGCCTCACGTAATTCTCCTTTATCGTTTCGTGGTTCATTATTCGATTCGGAAAACTCATCGGGTCATATAAGACCTATCGGTTCGGTGCGTTATGATGAAAATGATTTTCGGCCTCATTTTGATTTCAACGAGTGTAAAGATCATCATAATTATATATTCGGCACGAATGTTTACAATTTTTCGGCTCGTAATATTCTAAATGGCAAATCCACCATTAAAATTTTAAAACACCTTTAAGGAAATAGAGGAAAGTAATTCCTTGGAATCCATAAATCGGCTAAAAATAGTTTACAACGTTTAAAGGATGAACGCAAAACTATATTTAAAGAACTCTTGGAACTTTCCAGCTGTGATGAGTCATTGGAGTATCGTTTGGTTAAAGATTATCTGGAGTGTAATTCGTATTCGGAAATTGAAAATGATATAGAATTTAAGGATTATTTGCAAAGGAAAAACTATACAGATATATTATCTTATCTCAACGAGTGTCAAGAACCCAGAAGTTTTACTTCTATATCTTCATCTGTGGCTAGGGCACAATCAGCAATGGGCAAGGGTTCTTTGAATAGTTTAAAACTTTTGTCTACACCCAAATCTTTAAAAGAACCCAAAAAAACACCCGAAGTAGAGTCTCATGTTTGTCATGCCTGTCGTTCTTCTTTGCAGTCGTTTACACCCTTTAATCATACGACCTTAAAAGCTCCCAAGCTAAGAGAATTTGAAGATAAACCCAAATCCAATATATTCTCAACTTCGTATCGAGAGATTTTAAAGTTTTGTCATGAATTTTTCGAAGAAAGTTTTAAGCAGAACAATTTTGAAATGCCCAAGTTCAC